CAGTAACGAGTGAATTTTCTGGAAGCATTAAGGACTATTTTTTAAAAATTATTTTAGGGAAGTCTGGGTGGCTCAGTCAGTCAAGCGTCTGCCTTCGACTCAGGTAATGATCCCAGGGTCCTGGGATTGAGTCCCGTGGCTCCCTGCTCAGCGGGGAGCCTGCTTCTCCCTCTGCCTGCCGCTCCCCCTGCTTGTGTTCTCTGTCTGACAAATAAATAAAATCCTAAAACAAAACAAAACAAAAACTATTTTAATAATGAGTTGCAGTTAAAATATATAGGAATAGCTGCTATCAATATCTTCCCTTGCACAAAAGCAAATCTTCCTTTTCTAGCTTTTGCTCTTCTTTGATGATTCTGATTATTCTTCCCTTCCACAGATGATGAAAAATAGTCACCACCAATACTAGACTAGTCATTTGTTTTCTGAACAAACTTTTCAAAGATATCACCCCTCCCACATTCCTTATGCACAGAGATCATTCCCCTCTTTTAGTTTCTGGAGTTATGTGGCATCCAACAATAGAATTGTACCCTTTAGTTCTGTGCCCAGAAGCAGAATTCCAGGCAACAATTTCAATTCTGCTTAAGTTGTGGTCAAAGATATGGCCTTTGGTGACTCTCAGAGGTGATTTGTTTTTAAATGACAGTTCTGTAGAAATACTTGGGAGATAATTCAGTTCTCCATTTCTTTAACATCATTTTTTTTCCGCTAGCAGTTAAATATTTTTCCCTTGTGTTTTCCTCCTTATAAATTAACAAGGAAATAAAACTCATAACTCTTTTTAATAGATTTCTTATGCAAGTTTTATATGGCGTATTTAATGTATTACATGTCTTTGCTTTAGGTCTTGAAATTAAATTCATTGAATATAAAGTGAATTGGGTGTAATTTTTTAAATTCAGTGCTTATTTTTATTTATTTAATTTTAAAGATTTTATTTATTGAAAGAGCATGGATGCGTACAAGGGGGGAGGGGCAGAGGGAGAGGGACAAGCAGACTCCCTGCTGAGCAGGGAGCCTGACCTGGGGCTCCACTTGGGGCTCCATCCCAGGGCTCCGAGATCATGACTTGAGCCAAAGTCAGATGCTTAACAAACTGAGCCAGGCACCCCTTAATTGGTGTTTATTTAAGTCTGGTCAACACTTACATAGTATCACCTAAGGAAGCATTTAAAAAAAGCAGATTTCTGGGCCTACTCTAGATCGACTGAATCAAAACTTCTGTCAGAGGGTGCCAATAATACATTTTCTAAGATTATTACATAATACATAATATGTAAATGATATTATATAAATACATAAGAAATACTATATATATTAACAATTGTCCTCAAATGATTCTTATGACAAGTTAAACTTTGGTAGCATTAATGATATTAATGATATCAAGTTTATCATTCAGTCCTAAGGCTATTTATCATATATATTTTTTAGCTATGATAGGAAAAACAAAGTAGACAGTTGAGACCATTGATAATTTACTTTGTAAGACATATTGAGAAAATGAAAGATGGTAACCTTGTTGTCATGTGGTGTTTAGTTGAATTATCCACAGAAAGATCTCATTGTGGAGCATCATTTTTATGTATAAAAATGAGTTAAAGGTCAGAGGTTAATAGACTATAGCATTTACATAAGACACAATGGCAAAACAGGAATTAGGATTCATAGACTGACAGTAATACTGGGACTGGCCCATGGTAGAATAATAATATATTCTGTTTGGCTCCTATTTCAGCAGAGTTAAAGGGTAAACCGTTAAGCTGTTCATTAGCATTTGTGAGCAACACTCCAACCGACCTCTAGAAATGCTATTAAAACACTAAGTGTGGTTGGGGAGGGGAATGACTGGCAGTGATAATTATACTTAGATTAACACTAAAAAAATAAACTCAACCTAATCTAAAATTCAGTAATAATAATAATAAGGTCCCCAAGATAATATTCCAGGGTCCTCTGCCACAGAAACAAACAACAAAGGGGCGTTTTAGGCCTTTCAGATATAAAGATGAGAGCCACTTTCATCTAATGGCCACTTCTATATGCATTAAAAAAATAAAGACATGTTAAAGTGAGTTTATAAAATTGTGGTATACATTTAACAAAGCTATGCTTTGACTATTCGCAGTACAATAAAACACATTTTATTATTCACAGGATAGTTAAAGGGTATTTTAAAAATCATAGTGCACTGAGAGTGTAGTTATGGGACATAAATAAAGTCAAATGGACAGTGTTTTCTTTCTTCAGTCACATCACTATATTTCTAACTATGTATAACTCCATTTGGAGATTATAGTCAGTCAACCTGTAAGTTTGAAGGTTTTCCTGAGCATGAAACTGTATTAGTTTCCTGTGTTTGTTGTAACAAATCACAAACAGAGTGGCTTAAAACAAACAAGTTTATTATCTAAGTGTTGTAGATGTGAGCAATCTCAAAATGGGGTGGCAGGGCTACATTTTTCTGGAACTTTTAGTTGAAGAATTTGGTTCCTTGCTCTATGCAGCTTCTAGAAGCTCCTGGCATCCTTGACGCATAGCTTCGTATCACTCTGACCTACAATTCAATCCTGACACTTGTTTCTCTGATTCTGACCACTCTCTTATAAGGACACTTGCGATTCTATTGGATACACCTGGATCATCCAGGCTACCCTCCCCAACTGAAGGGCTTTAATTTAATCACAGCTGCAATGTTCCTTTTATAAGGTCAGGTAAAATATTCACAGGTTTCAGGGATTAGAACATGGGCAACATTGGGAGACCATTATTTTACCTACCACAGAAGCTCAGACCAAAAACCACTCCAAGAACTTTCCCCTTTGTGTGCTCTGCATTGTGATACAGTTGGGGTTTATTTTTTCTAAACCTATCAACTGATACTGCAGAGTGGTTTTTACCAGTGGGTCACAGAGGATCTCACTTTCCAAGGTAGGCACTTTTAGCTACTTGTTGCAGAGAAGATAATTTCATAATGTGGCTGCTACAACTTGGTATAAAACTACATGGAAACTATATTTTTTACCCAAAGTATGCATAATAAGGAACTAATTATATCTATAGAAAAAGATACAGAAAAAATGTTGCTTCTTATACTGTGATAGACAAATGAACAGTCTGTCCTTTACTTTCAATACGAGTCTTAAATATTATCAACATACAGTATAAAAGATCTAAGATTTATAGTGAACAGAGCAAAATTAATATATTTGCTCTAAAACAAAACTAAATCAATACAACACGATTCTTGCTAAAATTTGTCAAGATTTAATTATTAATACATAGCAATTAATATAAGACTTTTATTACTATGCTTTTTTTTGCTGAAGATTAAGAAAATGAAAAATAGGGATGCCTGGGTGTCTCATTTGGTTAGGTGTCTGCCTTCAGCTCAGGTCATAATCCCAGGGTCCTGGGATCGAGCCCCACATCCGGCTCCCTCCTCAGCGGGAAGCCTGCTTCTCCCCCTTCTGTGATTTCTCTCTCTCTCTCTCTTAAAATAAATCTTAAAAAAAGTGAAAAATAGCTTTAACTCCACTGTTAGATTAAAAGGGGTAACTGAGATTAATATTAATAGAAACAATTATTTGACTTGCATTTCTGCTTCTGTATAGATTCCTTTATTCATTTACCCATTCAGTTAGTCAACAGGTATTGAGGGTCCAGTATAGGCCAGACACAGGTGTGGTGGTGCTACCAAGTCAAGTGTATTATGATGCTTATTTTTCAGCTAAGAGTCAGTGATATGACAAACTGCAATTATAATGGAGCTAAACACTATAATAAAAGTACTTTTTTTTAAATTTTATTTATTTGAGAGAGAGAATGAGAGACAGCATGAGAGGGAAGAGGGTCAGAGAAGCAGACCCCCCGCTGAGCAGGGAGCCCGATGTGGGACTCAATCCCAGGACTCCAGGATCATGACCTGAGCCGAAGGCAGTCGCTTGACCAACTGAGCCACCCAGGCGCCCCTAAAAGTACTTCTATATTGAAACTTGTGTACTGAAAATATAAGTGTATTGAATGTATTAAAAGCATGTTCAGTCACTGATAAATAAAAGAAACATTTAATTTTATCTTTAACCTAAATTGGGAAAAATGGGTAAAAATACTGGGTTGGAATATTATAACCTGATAATATTTTCAGCGCCTAAAAGATTCTTTTTTTAAAAATCAATCTCAAATTAACTATTTATAGGTGAAGATTAAATTAGCAAATATTAATAAATATACTTCAATTATGATAAAGTGACTCCATCGGTTCATTCAATACATACTTATTAAACTTCTTTTATATTTCAGGAGCTGGGCACAAAACCCAAGCCAAAAAAGTAAGGATCCTGCTCTCATGGAGTTTACATTCCAGGGACCTAATACAATGGGCTCTGACATTCCGAGTACTTGACTACATTTTTCTGGTAAACACGACCAGCAAGGACAGCACTAAATTCCAGGCCTGGAATTCTTCAACTCAGGCTGTACTTCTGTGCAAGGGCCTAAAGGCAGATCTGCCATTTGTGCAATTTTACACGTTATTTAAACATTACAATCTTTTTTCTTTCTCTGTAAACACCAAACCAAACCAAAACAAACAAAACCCCAATAATAGTTGGGTTCTCCTGGAGATTAAATGAGCTAATGTGTGTCGCTTGTTCAGCAATTATTAGTATTATTGCTTTGACTCTGTGGGCCCAAAATGAGCCCGCTCATTAGAATGAGCTGGGGATCTTTAAAAACATTCTAAAACTCCGGCCACACAGCAGACTAATTAAATCCCAGTGGCTGAGGGTGGGACACAGGTGTCAGCACTTTCTGACCTCCCCAGGTAGTTCCAATTTGCAGACAAATTTGAGATCCGCGGCAGTTTGGTTTATATATATGGTTCATAATAACATTTGCCCATCCACCCGTCTTTTCTGAGGTGGAACCTTTAAGCCTCACGAGATAAAGGTAGAAATCGAGGTGCACGTTTCTCCCATCCTGTGACTTGAATCCAAATGTCTTTAAGGGGAGAGGGACTGGAGGGCGTCCTGACCGCTACAGCCTCCGCACAGCTGTCAAGTTTAATGGGACCCGTAGATATGTACGGAGGGCTGACGCTTCCCCCCGAGGCGACTGCGGGGCCCGCCAGAGCAGCGAGGAGGCGCGGAACTCAGGCCTGCCGGGGGCGCTGGGCTCGGTGTAGAGGCCGAGGACGCGACGAGAAGCAGCTCGGCGGCTGGAGCGTCCCCTGGGGACACGCCGCGGCCTGGCCCTTGCTGCTCCGCAAGGTCGCCGTCCGCCCTCACCCGCCCTTCCTCCTTTCCCCCCTATCCCAGCCGAGGTCCCGAGCAGCCGCGGGGCGCTTGGGCCCAGGGCGAGCCAGGCCTGCCGCGCCGCCCGCCGCCATGGAGCCCAGGCCCGCCGCACCGGGGCCTTGTCCCGGCGACTCGCGCGGCGCGGAACAAGCGGCCGCGGCCTTTTCGCTGAACCCTGCCGAGGCCCAGCCCCGGCGCCGCGCTCCCGCCGTGGCTGCCGTGTTGCCGGCTGGGGGAAGCGGGGAGAGGATGGGCGTCCCCACCCCGAAGCAGTTCTGTCCCATCCTGGAGAGGCCGCTCATCAGCTACACCCTGCAGGCCTTGGAGAGGTAATGCGGCGCCAGGCGCGCCCCCGGTCCCCGACCCGGCCTCCCGCTCCCTCCCCGCCCGCCTAGGGCAGCCCGCGACACCTGCCCCTGGTGGTGCTTTTCGCGCTGGCGCCTTTTCTCGGCGGACTGCGGGGCCCACCCCACCCGCTCAGTCCCCGCCGCCGACTCGGGCTCTGTCCGCGCTTGCAGTTTAGAGATGGGCGGCTCTGCTCTTCTAACAGACCCGCATGCAAGCGGGGGCTGCCCCACAGAGCCCTTTCTGTGCCCAGGCCGTCGGGCGGGGGGCTGGGGGGAGCCCGGCTCGTGGAGTTGGACTAAGGAAGGAGAGCATGGGCTGGCACTGAGAGGCATTTAGTCTTAACAGTGGCCCCAGTGTGGTCTAATGACAAGCAAGCCTTTTCAGGAGTCTCTTCTGCCTCTGCCTTTTTCTCAGTCTCTTACGTGCACTCTCCGTGCATGCGTGAATTGGAGTTTTACTTGTGCATCTGACTATACGAACCTTTGTTCGCTTTATCCATTCATTTATAAACACTAGCGAAGTATCTCTTAGGACCCTGTGTTAAGAGGTGCTGAAAGTGTACCGAGGGGCAGAATTTAATGCAAGCTTTTCAACGTGGATATGGATTTAAGGGGGCGAGATTCTGAAGTTAAGGCCAATTTGTGCTTTATCCTGTTACAAAATGCACTGACTTGTAGGGGATCTGGAGAGGGAATGGGGGTGGGAGGACTAGGGGAGCCTCAGTGAGGTGAAAAGGGGGTGTGCTATTTATCTTGCTTTAGAGGGCCGGTAATAAGACTGAGCGTGGGGTGAGGCTGGAGGGGTAGAAATAGGGCAAGTTGCAAAGGTCCTTTGACGTGTTGGGAAGGTGTTGAAACGTCTTGAAGCCAGGGTGGTATTGTGATAGGCTGTTAAACCTTGAAATGAGCCCTTTGTATCTCAAGAGAGATGACCTCTTTTAGCATAGCCTTTGCAGGTGGCTTTGATGAAGACTAAGCTAATGAGTTGCTCCTAATCAAAGGACAGTAGCCTGTTATCCAGAAAAGATCTCCCTGCCCCACCATGCTGCACACACCACAGAAGCCAAAGGGCCCAAGTTGCTTTGTGTATGCTTATCTTCCTAAATGTTGGCATTTGGAAAACGGAAGCGTGAAGAGTCCTAATCACCCTTGATTCAAGTAATCAGGCTGGTGGTTGCATCTGAAACTCAAACACTGAAACAGTTCCAGGTGCTTCCCCCCTATTGTGTAGTCTACCTTTTATCTGCGTATGCGTCATTTAACTACAGTATTGGATGCTAGACCTTATGACAACATAGCTCATTATGTAGGTAGTATTACAGGAACAATGGATTTTGGCCAGCAGAATCTAACTGCTTAATTACCGGATGTAGCGGAATACGGTGTTTTTTACATTTAATTTTCCTTCCTGTGAAGGAAATTCGGATTATTAGCATGTTTGCATCTTCTGAGGGAGGCTGAGATAGGTGGCTACTGGAAAAATCTTTTAAAGTAAAAGAATGTTCTGGGAAGACCTTGTTTATGGAAAAGGGGGAATATGTGTTTTCTTTTGATAACAACAGTGATACAATTCTAATAGTAACTACTTAAATCTCCATTTTGAAATACTCTGGGGCTCATTTTTGTCACTGTTAAAATGCCTGAATAACTTAAGGGATGCTTATATTTGGGGTGTGTTTCAGGAAATCCTTGGAAACCTTGCGTTACAGGGGTTTAGGTATGGGTGCTTCTGAGCCATTTCCTAAAGGAAGGGCATTCTCTTGACTGCTAATAGGCTTTCTAGAGCATGGTGCTCCAAAGCCTAGGTTATTTCATCCCCCTGAATTATTCAGGTTCAAATAAGGAAAGGAAATGGAAGCATAAAGTGTGTTGTAAAATTCTTATCTTTTGCTCTTTGGTGAAATTATGCATGCTTACCATTTACTAAGGGGAAGCACAGCTCTCAGTATCCCAAATCGGAAAAGCTGTAATTGGGTATCACCACAGTCTGTCATCTGGTTTATTTTAGGACAGTGTCTGCTCTCCTTGACCTCTGAGAGTTGTGAATATGGATTGTGTAGAATTTGATTTCAAAGCTCCTTTGTCCCTCATAAGTTAGGATTTTCCTTTCTCAAACTTTTGCCATCTCACAGAGAAGTTGCTGTGAGTAATCTTCTTAGTTAATCTTGACTAAGAAGGATAGTCAAGAAAAAATGACCCTTATGATGTGATCTGTCTTCTGGAATTTTGAGCCAATATAAAACTACAGTGTACAAGAGCTTTCACCTCTGAAGTTTGGTCCACATTTTTTTTTTTTTAAAGATTTTATTTATTTCTTTGACAGAGACACAGCGAGAGAGGGAACACAAACGGGGGGAGTGGGAGAGGGAGAAGCAGGCTCCTCACTGAGCAGGGAGCCCAATGTGGGGCTTGATCCCAGGACCCTGGGATCATGACCTGAGTCGAAGGCAGACGCTTAATGACTGAGCCATCCAGGTGTCCCATTTGTCCATAATTCTTAAATTGGGGTTAGGGAAATGTAAAGAAATGTAGCTAGTTTTGGTTTGAGTTAAACACATGTTTAAATGGCATTATTTCCAGTCTTGCATTTACCCACCCAAAGAGACTAGAAATAGTATAGCCACACAAGGGAAAATGTAAGAGGTGCTGGAGTAGATAAAAGATGATGACAAAATGTTGGAAGAACAGCATGGTAATCAGACTTAACAGTCCTAGGGAAGTGGGAACAGCTGTGAAGAAGCATTTTGGTTGAAGTCCCAGGCCCTTGGAAAGGTTCAGGAATTAGAGCTACAGGATACTTCGGAAGGTGGGGTAGACAGCTGAAAAACAAACAAACCAAACCAAACCAACACAAAAAACCAAAACCCAACTGGTTGAAACCTTCAAAAGAAACCTTTAAACTCCTAGATTGCTGTCAGAATGCTGGAGGCTTATTCTCTGACTCAGCACAGCCAATGGCTGAGTAAGGGGCTCCATGGCCATGGAGGAATTAAGAGCAAAACTGCTGTGTGGAATGATGAGATCCTTAGCTTCCAAGGGAAAATCAAGGGAATGTCTTCTCAAACAACATGGTATACATTAAAGCACCTGTTCTTCAATCACTGAAAACAACTTTTTTTTTTTGCCCCCATCGTACTAACAAGGAACTGAGGTCAAGGGTCCTGGTTTCTTATATAACTATTGATTTATGACCAGAGTTTCTGAAAGAATTACTGCTTTAAGAAAACTATATAAATCTGTTTTATTGATTGGTATGTGTCTGTCTTAAGGAAACTGATTTTTGTGGTTGAGTTGGGTTGCTTTCTTGCCACTTGGAAAATCAGTGGAGGTCCTGTTTTAGTAACTTTGACTCCGTGGTATGAGTGTGAGTATGAGTGCGTGTGCGTGTGTGTTGTTTTGGTAAATAGCAGTAGTGCAGTTACTGGATCATAGTGTAGTTCTATTTTTACTTTTTTGTGGAACCTTCATTCTGTTTTCCACAGTGTCTGCCCCGGTTTGCATTCCCACCAACAGTGCATGAGGCTTCCTTTTTCTCTACTTATCAATACTTGATGTTTCTGGTGTTACTAATTTTAGCCATTCTGACAGGTGTGAGGTGGTATCTTGTGGTTTTGATTTGCATTTCCCAGATGATGAGTAATGGTGAGCATCTTTTCATGTGTCTCTTGGACATCTATATGTCTTCCTTGGATAAATGTGTGTTCATGTCTTTGCGTTTTTTAATTGGATTATTTTCGGGGTGTTGAATTTTGTTTTTTATATATTTTGGACATTAACTATCAGATATGTCCTTTGCAAATATCTTCTTCCATTCTGTAGGTTGACTTTATTTATTTAGGAGGCGGAGGGGCAGAAGGAGAGGGAGGGAGAGAATATTAAGCAGGCTCTACGTCCAGCCCAGAGTCCAACTTGGGGCTCCATCCCAGGACCCTAAGATTATGACCTGAGCTCAAATCAAGAGGTGGACTGTTAACTGACTGAGACACCCAGGTGCCCCTTAACTTTTAGTTTTGTTGATTACTTCACTGTGCAGAAACTTTTTATTTTGATGTAGTCCCTCAACTCAGGAGACCTAAGTAGAAAAATGTTGCTATGGCCAGTGTCGGGTTACTGCCTATATTCTGTCAAGGATTTATATGGTTTCAGGTCTCACAATTGAGTTAATTTTTGAGTATGGTGAAAGAAAGTGGTCCAGTTTCATTCTTCAGCATGTGGCTGTCCAATTTTCCCAACATCATTTATTGAAGAAATTGTCTTTTGCCCATTGTATATTCATTCCTCCTTTGACAAGATTAATTGACCATGTAATTGTGCGTTTATTTTTGTTTTTTTGTTGTATTTTATTGATCTATGTGTATTTTTATACTGCTACTATACTGTTTTTTTTAATTTTTTTAATTTTATTTTTTTAAGTAATTTCTACACCTAACATGGGGCTCACACTTATAACCCCAAGATCAAGAGTCACATGCTCTACCAATTGAGCCAGGCAGGTACCCCCATACTCTTTTAATTACTACTACTTTATAATATAACTTGAAGTCAGGAATTGTGATTCCTCCAGTTTTGTTTTTCAAGATTGCTTTGGCTGTTTGGGGTCTTTTTGGGTTCCATACAAATTTGATGATTGTTCTAGGTCTGTGAAAGATGCTGTTGGTATTTTAATAGGGATTGCATTAGAGCTGTAGATAGTTTTGGGTAATAGAGACATTTTAACTATTCCAGTCCATGAACACAGAATGTCTTTCCATTTCTTTGTGTCATCTTGAATTTCTTTCATCAGTGTTTTTTCAGAGTACAGGTCTTTCACCTCTTTGAATAAGTTTATTCCTAGATACAATGCTGTGGCTAGGACTTGCAGTACTGTGTTGAATAAAAGAGGTGAGCGAGGACATCCTTGTCTTGTTCCTGGTGTTAGGGGAAAAGCTCTCCATTTGGCACTGTTGAGTATATTCACTGTGGGTTTTTAACACAAGGCCTTT